TATGGAATAGTATTACATCAGTGTTCAAGTGTTTCTTCCGTGGACAGTGAACAATCCACAATTTATACTGGCTCAGTTCTTCTAGCCAGTGACCAACTGGTTCTGCAGTTGTTTAAATTCATCAAGCAGACCAGGCCAAGATGACTGGCTCTAACTGTGAACTCCTTGCCATGCAGGTAATGGTGGAATTGACAAGTGAACTGAATTCTTGCCAGCAACTCTTTTTCCTGGTAGTACAGTATCAGCACTGCTCTACTAATAGCACTGCACTGCCATTACCTATTAATTGTTCTCTCTCTTTCCCATTCTGAACTTGGCTTTATTCCCCACCGCATGATCTGAGGCATCAGTGTCCAGAATAAAGTGACCTTGACTGTTTGAGATTGCTAATGCTGGACACTTAGTCATTAAGGAGTTCCTCAAAACCATTCTGCTGCTCATCTTCCCATCGGAAACCACTTTTTCCAGTAACTGCATACAGTGCACAGCAATATGAGAAAATTGGGGAATAAAAGTGTGATGGTAGTAGGTGAAACCTCTAAAATGCTCAACATCTTTTAGATCACATGGTACAGGCCAGTCATATACTGCCTCAATGTACTTGTCTCCTATCTTGACTCCCTGCTCACTCACTATTCTGTCTAAGAACTCAAAATTGAATTTGAATAGCTCACACTTCCAACATTTAAATTTTAAACCATGCTCTCTGAATCTCTTAAATACCTGTCGTAGGTGGTCTAGGTAAGCTCGTGCTGAAGCCCCCAGCAATAAGACATCACCCAGGAATGCTTTGGCTATTTTCCAGGTCAGTTTAGGTGACACTAGTTTCATTGCCCTACTGAAGGTCACAGGGGTATTGTACAGACCAAAATCCATCCTTGTAAATTCAAATAACCCATACTTACTTGGCTATAAAGGCTGTCTTTTTCAGGTCTTACAGAGCTATCTTGATCTACTAGCTTGGCAGTTTTCCACTAGGGTGTCCATACACTCCCGATGAGTAGCAAACACACACAGCAGGGACTGCTTTCCCTACTTTGGTACCTGTCTTAATTATACAACTTCTATCTGTCAGGTTCACTTCACATAACTTAGCTCTTCATCCTGTGGCATAAGTCCATGAAGCTACTGTACCAGGCAGAAAAATACTGGCAGGCTCCAGTAAAAAAAATCTGGCATATACATGTATATATGCACTCAAATCACATTCATTCACCTGCACAGTGTGTGGAGAAACACATACCCTATGGGCTGAACCCGCATCGAGTAGTTGCACTGATGCCTCGGTACTCATTTTAAAGGTTGTGTTTATAAATACACTTGATCTTGAGCATTTGTGCTTCACACAAAACTTCAGCACCTGTGCATGTAAGAAATCTACCCCTAAGAGCATGTCACCTTGTTAAGGGACCTACACATATCTGGTGTGCAAAGCCACAGTCCCCGATTCTCAGACAAAGACTTACGAGATACTAGCAAGTCACTCCTGCCCCCTCACCAGCTCATCTGATACTGGTGTCTCTTACTATCTCAGCCACGGACTCAGTGACTTATAAACTTCCCATGAGATAATGGTGATGTCAGCAGATGTATCAATAATGGCATTGATTTACTGGCTCCCCTACCTCAATAGGAACAGGCCATGCACCGGAGCTAAAACCTTGGCTCTCCAACCTTAGAGAGGGAATAATATGTGGCCTTGACATTTGTCAAAGGTAACTCTATAAGCAAAATTAGAGAAATGACTCTCCAACTTTTTTAAGACAAGAGCACAAGGAATCCAGGTTACTCTTACATTCACATTTCTGTTGTATATGTCCCAATTTCTTAGTCCTACTGACCCTCAGGGCTGAACTTTTTGTTGAGGTCTACACTTTGGACTGCGGACTCTACCACTCACTTTGGAGTCGTCAGGCTATTTTTCTGCTCCTCTGACTTACCTTGGCAATTACAGTCCAAGAGCTTACACCAGTGAGCAAAGGGTGAGCGAGAATCTATCCAACCTTCACTGTCCAACTCTGAGGAAATGGACCTAACAGCATGTGGATGATGAACCACTGCTCAGTGACTTAACTGGAATGTTTTTACTCATTTTATTGACTCTGGAAAAGTACAAAGGGGATAACTAGATTTCTGCTCATCTGACTTATCTCAGCACTCAAAGTCCAAGAGATTACACCAGTGAGCAGGGGGAGAGCAAGAATCTTTCTGTCCTTCATGGTCCCACTCTGATGAAATGGGCCTAACATCACATGGACAACAAACCACTGCTTGGTGACTTATCCAAGTTTTTACTTGTTTTATTGCCTCTGCCAGAGTACAAGGGGGAATTGTTGATTAACTGTTGCCCTGTCTCACTATCCCTGCCCCCCCCCCCCCCCCAAAGAGCAAACCTAACAATAACCTTTCTTGGAATATTCAGGCAAGGTTATGCCACCAAATGCCTTACAGGCAGTGTCCAAGACTCTATCCCCCTTTGTTCTATCGTTTTTTACTGGCTTCTGGGCTATCAAGCTGAAAATCAGCTGTATGGCTGTCTTTAAAGAAGTGTTCTCAAACCTCTCCTTCATCCTGAGAATGAATTCCTGGAAACTTAATGTAACTTAACAGAGCACCCCTATGATGCACGATATCAAAGTCTTAAGTGCTGCCCCCTCCAATGTCAGACTAAGGGCAAAGAGAAGACTGGTCACTCAACTGATGGTATTCAGCAATTGCAGAGAATTTTGAATAGAATGGTCCCCACTCTTCATCCCCACTGTACTTCATCAACTTGACTTCAGCTGGAATATTCCAGCTCATGCTGCTTTGCATACCAGGAGGATATAAACTCAGAAATTGAGTTAAGTGTGACCTAGAGGTACCCCAGGCCAATCTCCTATTCCAGGAACAAATGACAGACCCCCCCCTCCCCCCTCCCCCTCAGTGCAGCTGACTGCCCTAAGAACCCACCATAGTAGCCAGAGCCCTGACTATCCAATTTACCTGCACTAGAATACACAGATGCAGTGAGTGTGATCAAGGGCATGCCCATTACCCAAGCAAAATGACCTGGAACTGATGGGCCCATTCTGGGATCTACTGGGAATCTCCCACTAAGTGTAACCCCCTGAAAAGAATGAGCCAAATGTGATGGTACTCAGCAAATCCCATACCCAAACTTCTGTAGCCTATTTAAGAAAGTGACTGACCTTGAGCTGCAGCTACAAACCTGACCTCAGGATTATAAACAGAAACAGATCCAGGTCGCAATACAATACTTAAGGGGTGCTCTACAGGCAGGCTATGCCCTGGTACTCACCTGGCTACTAGTCACTACAGGCTGACTGTCAGTGAACTTGGTCTTTTGCAGTTTTATAACTGACTGAGACTTGTCTGAGACTTCAACATTCCTGCAAACATTTGATTGATCTTGCTTAACTGAGTCCTATATTTCTTTCTTGTCTTATCTTAATTCTCTCTGTGCCAGAAGGCACACAAGGCCTGAACATATCCCTCTTCCACTGGGGCAGGTCTGAGGCTGCACGGCGTGCTGTGTTCCAAGACTTCCAGCCTCAATCATTCCACTTCACCTCCACCATCTGCCGCCATGTTATCTTGGGGTGGCCTTGCTTCCTTCTCCCCTTAGGCGTCCACTCAAGGGCCACAACAGTCATGCGTTGGATCCTTCCTCAGCACATGGGCAATCCAATTCCATCTCCTCCTCCTCTTCCTCACCAATGATGTTTTCTACTCCTGCCACTTTCAGAACTGTCTTGTTTGGGATATACTGCTGCCATCTGACCTTAAGAATCATTCTGAGGCACTTGGTCTGAAAGATGTCAATCCTCTTTTCCTCTGTCTTGGTAAGCTTCCAAGTCTCACATCCATATAACAATAAAGAGAGGACCAGGCTCTTGAAGAGGGAGACTTTGATCTTTCTACTGATGTCTCTAGCCTTCCAGATGTTGGCTAGCCTCCTGAAGGATGTGCTGGCCAACGCTATCCTCTTCCTGATGCCAGCAGTACCTCCACATCCTTGGTAACATTGGCGCCAAGGTAAGTGAAGCTGTCCACCATATTTCTTTCCATGGAACCCATATTCTTTTCAACAAATTCCATTTGAGTCATATTGGTGTGCAATATGCCAATGTCTCCTCACAAGGCCCCTACATCTTGAACAACGCTACCTACCCTGCTGTTAACCTCATGAAAGTCACCCTGTACTTGGGAAATATTTTCTTGAATTTATTTCCCCTTGAATGTGGTCAACAACCCCCTCCAGGAAAGTACATCATTCCTGGGTCAGAAAATGAAACTACTGGAAATTGTGTCTCTACAGACCCATCAAAATCAGCCATCGATCAATAGCGACAGTCTCCTCCCCATAATGGGTGACAATATCAGGGGCACCCTCCCCCTTGGGCATTGTGTGCTACACACAGCTGGAGCAAACGTCAAGCTTAAAGAAGGCAGGACTTCCCGCAGACTGTGTCCTCTAGCCATTTCCCCCAACCCGAGTGACCCAGTCCATACTAGACCTAAAAGTCCCCCTTCCCAAACAATAGGAAATGAAATAACAGTCCATCTCAATCAACAACCCACAAAAGGGCAAAATATAAATTTACATGTAGTGGCTAACTTGCTTAACTACAAACACAAGTATAACCATACGTACAAAAGTAAATAACACAAATAATTCTATCTTACATCTTGGAAATAATTCAAAGATGGAGACAGGCATTAACATGTACAGGCAAAGCATTGACCCCACTGTCAAACTAAAATACCCAGCTCGCAGCGCCAATAATGTATTTCTATAATAACTATAACACCGATATGCAGTGATGGTAGAAACAGAGAAACACTATAGTAAAATAATCTGCATCTTACAATATACAGTACAGTACTAGACAATAATGCAGCTGACAGAAACATGTCTGTCCTAGTCAGCAGCAGAAAAACAGAAAGAGGAGCTGTTCACTTAACAGCAGGTACATAATGTACTTTGTATATGTAGGTTGCAGGACAATTTATACCTAGCACCTCCAGGATTACTTATGTTAATTAGGAATACAGCTCACCTAATGTCTGGTAACCTAACCTTTCCGGGCTCTCTAGCTGTCGAGTAGTCTTAGTGCTTCTGATTGGCCTTGCTTCTCTACATCCTATCAAATGAAAGTCAAGAGATCAAAGTGTGACCCAGTTCAGATCCTGAAATATCTTAATTTGAAAACTTAACAAGAAACTTAAATATTTCCAAACAAGAAGTCTGTGAGCCAATGCTCACTAGTAATACCCCCGCTTTGATGTGAATATACATTCTGATGTGAATGTACACAAGTTCAGTCATGGACAGACACAAGGATGATCAAGAAGTTGACATCAGATTCGTACAAAAATGAATCCCACCATATTGCAGGCCTAAACAAAGAATGTACTAAAATTTCAAGCATCTGCAATTAGAAGTTGCTGAGAAAACTGTGACCAAAACTTGTTCTGTATGGTACAGACAGATGCACGGATAAACAGGAAGTTGACATCGAATTCGTACAAAAATGAATCCCACCATATGGCATGGCTTAACAAAGAATGTGCTAAAATTTCAAGCATCTGCAATCAGTAGTTGCTGAGAAAACTGCGACCAAACTTTGTTATGTATGGAACGGACAGACGCATGGATAAACAGGAAGTTTACATCAGATTCGTACAAAAAAATTAATCCCACCATATGACATGCCTAAACAAAGAATGTGCTAAAATTTCAAGCATCTGCAATCAGTAGTTACGGCTCTAAATTCGCTCTTGAGTACATCTTGACCTATGATTTTTACAAGAGGAATATAAAATAAATTATTTTAAAAATTGAAATAAGAAATGTTTTATATTGAAAAGTATATTGCAAATATATAAAAAAGATAAAATAAGCAGATTTTTTCACCAACTTACTTTTTTTTTTTGGAAATGATTTTGATAATTCCACTAGAATTACGCATGTGTAGGGGGACATTTTCAACCATGTCAAAATAAAAGTTAAATATACGGCGATAATACCTTGTACACAGAATATCTTCATTCACTACTGTTTAGGAAGGATAAAATTAACATACAAAAGTATTTTAATGCACATTATGTCTAAAATAAAAGAAAAACTGGAATTTATTTCTTCTCATATTTTGAACGTAACTTCTGTCAGACTCAATACACCGGGTACATTGTTATAAAATGGGCCATTGTTTACGCAAACTATTTTATCTTTCTAGTCTACTGATAGAAAATTTACCTGTTTATCAATTAAGTGATCGCAGATTCAACAGAAAAGCATGTGTGCTTAGAAATTAAAAAATCTGTGGGATGCTTCCTGTGTCTGTCATGGCAAATGGGTGTTACGTTCTATTTTAAGAATGGAGCTCGGAGATGCTTCTTCTTATACATTTGACTTAGAGGTTATGAATATTTAAATTTTCTCCAGTGTTCTATGCAAATGTGTTTACATTTCAATAAGAAGAGCTACAGAGAGAGCCCGAGAAGCCACGAACGTTTGTCTGTCAAGTGTTACGTTACACAAAGTATGTTACGTTCATGAAAATATAAGTTGTCTTTATCCTAGATTTTAAACACATATCATCAAATATTGTCAGCTAGTAGGTGTATTTTGGATTTTTTTAAAAAAATATGAACTTGCACGCTCTTCATCACTACATAAACACGTGAAATTTGACATTTCTTACATAATGTACCGATTGACAGACATTGCCTGAATACTATCGTAACAGTGACGGACAAAACGAATGTCTGTTCATGTTACGTGAATCAAACGGGTGCATTCAGATTTATACGTTCAGTGAATTAAACCAAAAAGTATTTTTATTTAAGTATATTTAAGGAATAACTGTCTAATTTTTTGGATTCATGATGTGATCAATCGAGTGGCTTGCGTGATAATTTGCATAAACGCCGAAGGCGTTTATGCATAAAATTATCACGCAAGCCAATCGATTGATCATCGTCATGAATCCAAAAAATCTGACAGTTATTCCTTATATTTACATGCTCCTGATTCTGCAAGTTCCTGTGCTAATAGCCCCGCTTCTGTCTCTATTTGTCCCGCCCCGCACGTGATTTTTTTTAACCGCGCCTATCGATGAACCAGTAGATTTATGTAGAAATAAAGTATTTTTACAATTTGTAATTTTATCTCGGACAATGACATTGGAAATGTAAATATTAGTGTATCATAAGGCAAAATTTGTCTTTATAACTTAAACAATACAATTTTGTAGTTGTTTTCTTGCAGTTTTTAAAACAAGTCTGTCAAGGCTACGTGCATCAGTACATGTTACGATATAGGTTTGATCTATATGAAATAATTTATTTTTTTTAAATTTCATTAGTATTTTCATAAATAATAATGTCTTGTGTATTATAATTTCCAAGAATAAAAGAAAAGCTTTGAATGATAAATTTTATTGGCTCGTTTCAAACAGGTATTGCTCAAGAAATATCGTAACATGACAGACAAGGTGGAAATTTTGTATGTTGCAAAGCGTATAGCAGAGATTTATTTTTTAAAAATTCAAATTTAAAATCTATAAGGAATCAAAATTTGAATAATGTCCATTTCTTACGGCAACATTATATTTTTGATAAAATAATGAAAGTTTATGGTATATTTGGCTTGCTAAGTAAAGGAGTCTGTCAGTGTTTCGATCATCAGTTTGTGCCTCAAAAGTAGCTTAAAAACCTTTTTTTTTTCTATGTAAGAGTGAAAAAAATTTTTGCATTGTTTAAGGAATTGTTATACCCGCACTTTCTAAAGAAAGTTCGGGTATATTGTTGTTACTCATGTCTGTCCGTCCGTCCGTCCGTCCGTCTGTCACACTCTTATTTCTCAAACTCCTCTTACATTTTACACAGTAGCCTAATCATCTTTTGGGAGGTGTTTGGTGGTGTCATGTAGATGTGCAGTAAAGTTTCGGAATTTTCATGTTCACCCTGGGGGTCAAATGGGGGTCGAAAAATGACGTTTTTTATGCAAAAAGCCCCTGGTTCCCTGAACTCCTCTTACATTTTACACAGTAGCCTAATCATCTTTTGGGAGATGGTTGGTGGTGTCCTGTAGATGTGCAGTAAGGTTTCGGAATTTTCATTTTCACCCTGGGGGTCAAATGGGGGTCAAAAAATGACGTTTTTTATGCAAAAAGCCCCTGGTTCCCTGAACTCCTCTTACATTTTACACAGTAGCCTAATCATCTTTTGGGAGATGGTTGGTGGTGTCCTGTAGATGTGCAGTAAGGTTTCGGAATTTTCATTTTCACCCTGGGGGTCAAATGGGGGTCGAAAAATGACGTTTTTTATGCAAAAAGCCCCTGGTTCCCTGAACTCCTCTTACATTTTACACAGTAGCCTAATCATCTTTTGGGAGATGGTTGGTGGTGTCATGTAGATGTGCAGTAAGGTTTCGGAATTTTCATTTTCACCCTGGGGGTCAAATGGGGGTTGAAAAATGACGTTTTTTATGCAAAAAGCCCCTGGTTCCCTGAACTCCTCTTACATTTTACACAGTAGCCTAATCATCTTTTGGGGGATGGTTAGTGGTGTCCTGTAGATGTGCAGTAAGGTTTCGGAATTTTCATTTTCACCCTGGGGGTCAAATGGGGGTCAAAAAATGACGTTTTTTAAGCAAAAAGCCCCTGGTTCCCAGAACTCCTCTTACATTTTACACAGTAGCCTAATCGTCTTCTGGGAGGTGGTTGGTGGTGTCCTATAGATGTGCAGTAAGGTTTTGGAATTTTCATTTTCACCCTGGGGGTCAAATGAGGGTCGAAATATGACGTTTTTTATGCAAAAAACCCCTGGTTCCCAGAACTCCTCTTACATTTTACACAGTAGCCTAATCGTCTTTTGGGAGATGGTTGGTGGTGTCATGTTGATGTGCAGTAAGGTTTCGGAATTTTCATTTTCAAGTTTTTGATGCAGTGGAAGAGCTTTCACTAATACATATCAGCATATTAGGTTTGATAAAAATATCTTGAATGATTTATTTAAAACTGAGCTTAACATTTATTTGAGAAAAGAGAGGTCAAGGTCAACGGAAAGGTTGAGGTCAAAATGTTGATGCAGTTGAAAAACTTATATCAGTATGTATTTACTATTAGCATAGAAGTTCAACAAAAATATCAGAAATGGTTTATTTAAAATGTAGATAAGGCCAAATAAAAAAATATGTGTGGTTCGGGTTACCCGACCTTCCCTATTTTATACCCCCGACCCTAAACTTTTTTTTGGCAATTTTCATATTTTTCCGGAATTTCCCCCAATTTCCATCAATGGCTCCAGTTTAAGTTTTAGTTTCAGCAATGACGGCCTCCTTGCAAAACACAGTGCAAGTGTTTAATAGTGTTAAATCCAAAGCAAGCTAGCATGTAGGTGTCCCCTACCAATACTGACTAGTATATTATCACACCACATCTAAATGCCATTTGCAAAGCACTGATAGGTACTATTTAGAAAAAAAAATTAAGAAAATCATTTTGTTAAAAAAAAAAAAATTAAAAAAAATAAAAAAAAAAATAAAAATCCCTACCTACCTACCCTAATTTTTTTGGAAGTGTAACCGGAACCACACATATTTTTTTGTTTGGCCTAAACACTAATTTAAAAAAGTGAGGTCAAGGTCAAAGGAAAAGTCAAGGTCAAAAAAGTTGATGCAATTGATATCTCTCAGCAGTATAATTATATCAGCATATGAAGTTTGATAAATATATCTTGAATTGGTTATTCAAAACTGATCTAGACACTAATTTAAGAAAAGTAAGGTCAAGGTCAAAGGAAAATTCAAGGTCAAAAATTTTGATGCAGTTGAAAAGCTTACATCAGTATGTATCAGCATATGACGTTTTATTGAAGTCGGACATGACAAACACTATATGCCTCGGCCATATTCATGGCAGGGCATAAAAAACTTGAATCTACACTATATGAGGATGTTTCCATATCAAAATGACTAACAAGCAAATTCAAAGAATTGTGGTCCCCTGCTTTCCGTGTCCTAGTGGATGGGATGCCATTATTTATGACATATTGTTTCAAATATGCACGCCCTATCATATGTCATTCAAAAGTAATCACCAAAGTTAAAAATTTTGAAAATTAGGTAAAACATCAA